TTTTTACTTACCTAGAAATTTCAGTGTTTGAGAAAAAGCATATTGAGAGATGAAATGAGTAGCAGAGGATTTCAGTGAAGACTTCTAGAAGCACATTAGAGGGTTTCTGATGTTAAGTCTGATAATGATTTTAAATTTAATCTATTGTTATTTCATTTTATAGTTTATTTAATAAACTAACATTTATTATTTACAGTATGTCACTATCATTTTGCTTATTTCATGACTGTTCTGTCCCTTTAAAAATTTCTCAGACAAAAAAGAGTCTCTAATAATTTTTTAGCAAAAAAATTCTCAGACAACTTTGATGTTTCAGAGTCATAATTGACTGAGAAGTAAAAGGGAATGTTGAGGGAACAGAGCTTATACCCAGTTTTCTGGATGTGAGGCTGAGGGATGCTTCAGAATCTGTGCATTGGTTGAGATATTTCTTTCCAGTTACCGCCAGGTGGCACCACTGGCCCAAAACAACTGGATTGCTGCCCAGAATCAGAAAGAAGGGAAGGTTTTGAGAGGCCACCTGTTGTGTAGTTGGGGGAAGGAGGTGGATAATCTTGTACCCTTTTTCTCTCTGTTCTAGAGATTTTTGTAAGGAAGGAAACACATGAAGAATTGAAATCTTTATTACCTCATCTGGTCATTTTTATTGTTTTTCTTTTTTTCTGTCTATATCTGTAGTTCCTTCAGAAACAGGTAACATTTTTCTAACAGTCACTTTGTATTCTGGCATCTTGCTTTTATAATGCTTTTGTTTCTTACTATAGAGGATAGGGAAAAACTAATCATTCTCTCACAGCATTGAAAAAAATCTGTATTCAAATTCCCACAATTACAGTTTAATTGTAGCCAATTGGTTTTCTGAACTTTTTAGAAATCCTGGCTACAACATAATACTATTTAATACCTATTTTTTCAGAAATCCTAAAATAGCTGTTAATAAATAGTATTTTCAGAATTTACAGCAGTGGATATTGGTATCAGTAACAGAATAGGTCGGAATATCCAGGTCTTGCTTCTTTCTGGCTGATATAATAATGACCTGAAATATAGTATTTATGACAAGGGATTTCTCCAGTATCCTGACATGGTAGCCGTATTTCGTGCTGACTCTTCCACTTTTGCATATCTTTCCCTAAACTCTTTACCCATCTTTTAAAAAGGTGTTTTTTTATGTGAGGCTGAGGGATGCTTCAGAATCTGTGCATTGGTTGAGATATTTCTTTCCAGTTACCGCCAGGTGGCACCACTGGCCCAAAACAACTGGATTGCTGCCCAGAATCAGAAAGAAGGGAAGGTTTTGAGAGGCCACCTGTTGTGTAGTGGGGGGAAGGAGGTGGATAATCTTGTACCCTTTTTCTCTCTGTTCTAGAGATTTTTGTAAGGAAGGAAACACATGAAGAATTGAAATCTTTATTACCTCATCTGGTCATTTTTATTGTTTTTCTTTTTTTCTGTCTATATCTGTAGTTCCTTCAGAAACAGGTAACATTTTTCTAACAGTCACTTTGTATTCTGGCATCTTGCTTTTATAATGCTTTTGTTTCTTACTATAGAGGATAGGGAAAAACTAATCATTCTCTCACAGCATTGAAAAAAATCTGTATTCAAATTCCCACAATTACAGTTTAATTGTAGCCAATTGGTTTTCTGAACTTTTTAGAAATCCTGGCTACAACATAATACTATTTAATACCTATTTTTTCAGAAATCCTAAAATAGCTGTTAATAAATAGTATTTTCAGAATTTACAGCAGTGGATATTGGTATCAGTAACAGAATAGGTCGGAATATCCAGGTCTTGCTTCTTTCTGGCTGATATAATAATGACCTGAAATATAGTATTTATGACAAGGGATTTCTCCAGTATCCTGACATGGTAGCCGTATTTCGTGCTGACTCTTCCACTTTTGCATATCTTTCCCTAAACTCTTTACCCATCTTTTAAAAAGGTGTTTTTTTGGGGGAACTTTTAAAAACAAGGGGCATCCTAGTGATTAATAAGGAGTATTCCTTATTAATAGAAAGAACTTTGTGTTTTCCCTTCCCCCATTTCTGCCTTGAAAGAAAATCATAATGCTGAGTAAAAACATGTGAATAGTTAATTCCTTTTATAAGAAGGTTGGTCTTGTAAACAAAAGATTTAAGATAAAAATGTAGTGAAAAAAACCGGTTACTTAATAATGACCTCTTAATACAACCTTAGTTGTGATCAGCAAAGTAAAACCTGGTTCAGTAAAGTTTAAGATGTTTGTTTTTCCCCATTGTCTTCCATTTGATTTTGTTTTAGAATAATGACCATAAAAGTATATTTATTTTTCTTGTATACTTGAGTCTTTCAATTTGATGACTAAGCTTGAGTTCCTAGTCTTCCCTAAATAGTTGGATATACACACATACACCTACCCTGAAATGATGAGGAAAGAAAAATCCATTTTTGTGGTTTTGTAAAGAAATGTCTTGCTGCTTTGAGCTTTAATTTCTTGAAGAGTGTTATTTTTAATGCAGAGTTTCTGTTTAAGTAAATGCTTTATTCACTTTAATACATGCTTTTAAAAACCTAGTGTGATTAAAAACATTAAGAGGACCTTAAATACAAATTGATCCTGTTGCTTCTTGTGGAAGATAATATCACTGGTTTGGAATTTTCCTGTAGTCTTTGTTTTCTGTTCTAGTTTTGTGAGAAAGGGAATTTCAGCATACTAATGTAAGTTATTATATGGTGTTTTCTTGGAGCATTTCACATTCTTGAAAGTACACATGGCAAAATTGAATTTTATTAAGAATTTATATAACTTTAAGGTGCTGAGGTGTAGGGCTTAACTCAGGTCAGTGTGTCATGTAAAGCCAAGTTTTTACAGGGCCCTTGAAGACTTCCAGCTGAAGATGGCCATATAAAGACAGCACCAGTCTGTTAGAACCTCTTAGAGAGCTTTCCCAAGGTGTAGTCATCTTCCAGTGAATGCTCTATCCCACCCCCAGCTGAGGTGTGCTGCTTTGAGGTTCCCTTTCAGCATATACTCTTGGCTTTTAAAATTGCTAACAATGGGAGCCATGCTGCTAGTAGAGCTGGCAGCACATGAGCCCAATGACCCTGTAGGTGCAATTATGGTTCGTTCTGTTCCCTGGTGTACATGCTGCACACAGACACACACACCCAGTACAGACATAGACACCCAGTACACACCCATCCACCCTAGTTTGGGTTAAGAAGAGGTTATAAGAACTAGCTAGGCTTATAGTGCCATGCCTAAATTTGCTGGCTCAAATTTCTTACTTTGGCATCATCTTGCTCACTGGGGAGCTGATGGCAATTACAGAAGCAGTACCAAATCAACAATGCCAATGGAATTATTTATTCTGATGGAGATTCAGTTGTGAATTCTTCCCTTGGTGGCCCCTTGCAGTAAGGATGAGGGCACAATGACTAGAGGCCAGTACTTTCTAGAAGAGCCAGATCAGCAGTGCTGGGTGTTACCCCATGGGTCCATTTAAACACAAGCCTTATCCATAGCATTTCCTAACATCATTGTCCAAGTGGGCCTTTATTTAGCTGGGTCCTACTTCCCAACTAGAGAAGAATTTTGTTGCTGGACAGCAGCTATGAGATAGTTCCTGTCATCTGAATATACTGATGACATGTTGCTTTCACAAACTGGTGCTCCTCAGTGACATTAGTAGAGGAGGACAGGACACGAAAAGTGAGAAAGTGTTGACATGAAGTCTAAGTAGACCTGCCACCTGAACCTCCTGGGAACAGGTAACATTATAGTGCCTGAGCTTATACCAGAGTGGTTATAGGGAAAAATGGGTTCCGAGAGATAACTCCTCTGCATTTAATGACAAGGGTATGTCAGTGTACTGACTCCTGCATATAGATACGGGTTCAGAAAGTTTAAAACTGCATGTTTGGTTGCTGGAGCTCTGAGGGTATTATATCTAATACCTGGGTCCATTAAAAAAAAGAGGCCTTACCCCAGAAGATGACTGGTTAGCCAGAGACGGGTAAGATTCCTCAAGGGAGGAACAACCTAAGACAGGCACAGTCGCAGGGGGGCCATCAGGTGAGAAATTGGGGATCAACAGAGGTGAGGCTTAGAACCTCACCCCCCCTGTTTTGAGAGAAATCTTCTGCATCCGTGGATGTTTTGTTGCCCTTGTCTAGCTTGGATTAATACTTAGCCTATAGGCACACACCTGATCATCTACATTTGCTTTCTTACAGCACTAAACTATGTTTTCTACCTTTATCTTGCATCTACCTACCACTTCAGCATTTTATTAAAAATAATAATAATAATAATAAGGGAGAAATGTGGGATTCACATATAAATCAAGTATAAAAATCAAACGAATATTCATATTTGACCTGATTGTTTATAGTTCATAATGCGTGATCAAAACCGAAAGTTTCTGTGACGACTGCCCTTGTACTATTCACCATGTAAGAACTTATTCACTATGTAAGAATTTGTACATCATGTAAGAACTTGTTTGTTGTGCTTCAGAAGATCCGAGACTGCTGAGAATTAGACTTGGGGTGGATTAATGATTGTGCATTGAGTCCCCTATACAGAATTTTATTGTTGTTAACTGTTAACAACCATTTGATCAATAAATATGAGAGATGCTCTCTCAAAAAAAATAAAAATAAAAATAAAAAAAGAGGCCGTATTTTAGATAGATTGATCAAAATTATCTATTGTTTTTGAAACATGATTATAATTTAATGACTTGCATGAATATATTAAAACTTTTTTGTGTGTGGCTTAAAATTAAATGCAAAAAACATACCTTCCCTAATTAATGCCATTTACTAAGTTTTTTGAAGGTTATTCTATTAGAAGTACTGCATGTCTGAAAGCATACTATTAAAGTTTCTGTATCAGAAATTCACTTTTGATAATTTTTTTTTAGCATACAACTTTGTTGGTAATTCATGTGTGTGCCTTGTAGCCCATTGTCCAGTTGTATAATCTTTCAACCAAAACCATCCTTTGCAGATGCTTTTACTGACTCTGCTATCAGTGCTAAAGTGAATGGTGAACACAAAGAGAAGGACCTGGAGCCCTGGGATGCAGGTGAACTCACTACCAGTGAGGAACTGGAGGCTTTGGAAAATGATGTTGTAAGTAAAAATCTTTTCAGTTAGGTTCAAGCTATGGTCATGTGATGTGTTGTGACATCCTATTACTTGGTTGGTTGTTTTCTGTCATTTGGGTTTAATTTAAGAATGCTATTGTTGACGTGAGTGTATTTAAAGCAGCAGTTATATTCTGCATTTAGAGCCTCCCCCCAGGAAGTAAATACAGAAAAATGTTTCTTTGGAATGCTTATGAATTACTTTTCTTTTTAATGTAAGTCATAATAAATAACTTACAAATCTAAATTGGAAACCATGGGAAATTGGAAATGCCAGCATGTTTTGCTTTGAATGCTCTGCAGAATTAGGCGTTCTAAGAAAAGTGGTGTATCTTAATTGTCTGACTTTACCTCAAGGTGAGGTCAAAGTACACTTCTTGTGTGAGGAAGAAGTACTTGTTAGTAAGATGATACAGTTAGGTTACATTAGAATTAAAACAAGTAAATTTCTTGGTCAGAAAATTAGAATCATTCACCACAAAAATCTGGTTTTTGTTACTCAAATGTATTTATATATAATATATGCTTTGTATATAATGTATATGATATGTAATGGGAAAAGTATGGTACCTGAAACATACTAATATACTAACAATTATTAATACATCTATATATTTACACTTTTCTCATAACATAACTACAAATCAAATGCTTAGTAATGACTATCTTTAGGATTCTATAAATTATGTTTCTGAAGTGCAGAGATAGAAAGTAAAGTCTCTTGCCAAAAACGAGTATATAGATAGCAAAATTTGAGTTAGATGAATCTTCCATTGAATATTACAGAGAAGTCCTTATAACAAATCTGTTTGATAGTTAAGTCATCCAGTTATAAAATTGGAAATACATAGGTAACACATCATGATTAATTTTCAAATTTTGAAGAACCGTGTATAACTTAATGGGAAGGTGTACCACTCATCTGTGTGAAGCAGGCAACCCTTTTTTACTGATAGTGAGATGGATAAATTGATATTCATTCCAGTAATGTTTATCAAAAAATTTTTTTTTATTTTGGTATCATTAATCTACAATTACATGAAGAACATTATGTTTACTAGGCTCCCCCTTCACCAAGTCCCCCCCACATACCCCTTCACAGTCACAGTCCATCTGCGTACTAAAATGCTATAAAATCACTACTTGTCTTCTCTGTGTTGCACAGCCCTCCCCGTGCCCCCCCCTACACTATACATGGTAATCGTAATGCCCTCTTTCTTTTTCCCCACCCTTATCCCTCCCTTCCCTACCATCCTCCCCAGTCCCTTTCCCTTTCCCTTTGGTAACTGTTAGTCCATTCTTGGGTTCTGTGATTCTGCTGCTGTTTTGTTCCTTCAGTTTTCCTTTGTTCTTATACTCCACATGTGAGTGAAATCATTTGGTACTT